CTAGTCTTCCGGTTTGTTCTTCGATGGTTCGGTTCTCTGGTTCTCCGAGGTTCTCTGGTTCTTGAGGTTCCCTGTTTTTTCGAGGTTCTTTGGTGCTTCGAGGCTCTCTGCTTCTTTGAGGTTCCCTTGTTCTTCGATGTTCTCTGGTTCTTCGAGGTTCTCTGGTGCTTCAAGGCTCTCTGATTCTTCGAGGCTCTCTGGTTCTTTGAGGTTCCCTTGTTCTTCGAGGTTCTCTGGTTCTTCGAGGTTCTCTGGTGCTTCAAGGCTCTCTGATTCTTCGAGCTCTCTGGTTTTTGAGTTCCCTTGTTCTTCGAGTTCTTGGTTCTTCGAGGTTCTCTCGGCTCTCTGATTTTTCTCTGGTTCTCTTTTCTTCAAGGTTCTCTGATTCTTCGAGGTTCTCTGGTTCGAGGTTGGTTTCTTGTTCTTCGTTCTTCGAGGTTCTCTTTGAGGTTCTGCGAGTTTCTGCTTCTGGAGGCCTCTCTGGTTCTTTCGAGGTCTCTCTTTGAGGTTCTTCTTCGAGGTTCTCTGTTTCTTCGAGTTCTCGTTTTTCTTTGCGGTTCTCTGGTTCTTCGGTTCTTTTGTGGTTCTCTGGTTCTTCGAGGCTCTCTGGTTCTTGAGGTTCTCTGGTGCTTCTAGGCTCTCTGGTTCGTTGAGGTTCTCTGGTGCTTCGAGGTTCTCAGGTTCTTCGAGGTTCTCTGGAGGTTCTCTGGTTCTTCGAGGTTCTCTGGTTCTTCGAGGCTCTCTGGTTCTTTGGGGTTCTCTGGTGCTTCGAGGTTCCCTGGTTCTTCGAGATTCTTTGGTTCTTCAGGGTTCTCTTCTCTGGTTCCTCGAGGTTCTCTGGTTCTTTGTCTTCCCGGAGTCCTTCGGTTTGTGGCTTCTGGTTCCCCGTCTTTCCGCCGCCTGCCGTCCAGGTGGGGGCTTCTTTTGCCTCGGCGGGGGGGGGGGGGGTGCGGGGGCTTCCTCCTCCTCCTCCTCTCTTCGGACTGCTTGGCTCGGAGGGTGGCTTTGCGTACAGGCATCCGTACGTAGGAATACACATACGGTGTCAGATGTTTACAAGCACACACACACACACATGCACGCGCACACGAACACACACACCAAATACAAACACACAACACACAACCACACAACACACACACACACATTACACAAAGTAAAATACATGTAAATATCATTCATGTAAGCGCTCTTCATACTAAGACGACAACCAGGTATTTGCAGCAGCTGTATCTTCCAGGACACTTAACCTAGCTGCTCACGAGGTAGCCTGCACTTCAATATTCCTTTTGTTTCATTCTCCTCTCCCCGCTTCTCTCCCTCTCACCCGTTCCCCTTCCTCTATCCCCTCTCCCTCCTTTCCCCTTTAAGCCGCTCCCATCATACCCTGTTCCCCTCTCTCCCTCCTCCCTCCCTCCCTCCCTCCCTTTCTGAATGCAGGGCTCACCTCGGCACGTCCTTCCTCCCCGCCTTTTGGACGCGCGTTTCCTCCCCAACTTCCCCGCTTTATTACCTCCACTTAATGAAGAGTTAGAGTAAAGGGGAAAGATCAACGGTGACGCGGCCTTACGCTCTCGGCCGACCCTGGCAGCGCGGTGAGGGGTTGGAGGGGGTGAGGGGGAAGGATTGGAGGGGGGGGGAAGGGGAGGGGGGAGGGGTGTTGGGTGAGGGGAAGGGGAAGGGGAAGGGTGTTGGGTGAGGGTGAGGCTTGGAAGGAGGTGAGGGGGAAGACTTGGAGGGGGGAGGAGTGAGGGGTTGGAAGGGGTGAAGGGTTGGAGGGGTGAGGGTGAAGGCTTGGAGGGGGAGGGAGTGAGGGGTTGGAAGGGGTGAAGGGTTGGAAGGGGTGAGGGTGAAGGCTTGGAGGGGAGGGAGTGAGGGGTTGGAGGGGGTGAGGGGTTGGAAGAGGAGGGGAAGGGTGTGTTGAGTGAGGGGTTGGTGGGTGATTGGTAGGGGGAGGGGTACTTGGTATAGGGGAAGGGAAGGGTGAGGGATGGAGAAGAGGAGGGATGTTGGGTGAGGGGAAGGGTGTTAGGTGAAGGGAAGGGGAGGGGTTGGGCTGTTGGATGATGGGAGGAGAAGGGGAAGAGGAAGGGGTGTTGGGTAAGGTGAAGGGGAAGGGATGAGGTGTTAGATGACTGGAAGAGGAGGGGTGATGGGTGAGGGGGAAATTAAAGAGGTTTGGGTGAAGTAGGGGAAGGGGTAGGGGTGTTGGGTGAGAGGAAGGGAAGAGGGAGGGGTGTTGGGTGAGAGGAAGGGGAAGAGGGAGGGGTGCTGGGTGAGAGGAAGGGGAGAGGAAAAAGGAGAAGAGGAAAGAGAAATGAGAGTTGGGTGAGGGGAAGAGAGGGAGGTGACTATTTTTTAAGGAAGCCAGGCATGGTTTAAGGGATGTGGGCGGTTTCTGTGGCGTGGGCAATTGGGTGTAGTTTGACATGAGCGTGAGACAGGGGTAAGTTGGAGTAAAAATGTATTTGGATATGAGTTTTGGGATGTGTAGTAGAGGCGGAGGTGTGATAAAGGTGAGGTTGGACATACGTTGTAGGGGGTAGGGGAAGGGTTATGGGTGGGGCGTGGGGGGTGTGGTAGGGGAGGGTTATGGGTGATGAGCGGTAGGGGGTAGAGTAGGGTGTGTGGAAGGGGGTGGCGTAGGGGGTGTGGCAGGGGGTGGAGTAGGGGGAGGCGGGGGTTGTGGTAGGCGGTGGGAGTTAGAGTGTGTGGTAGGGGGTGGAGTAGTGGCGGAGGCGGGGGGTGTGGTAGGGATGTGTAGGGGTGGATAGGTATGTGGTAGGAAGTGGAGTAGGGGGTAGAGTAGGGTGTGTGGAAGGGGGGAGTAGTGGCGGAGGCGGGGGTGTGGTTAGGGGGTGGAGTAGGGTGTGTGGTAGGGGTGGAGTGGCGGGTGGTAGGGGTGGAGTAGGTGTGGTAGGGTGTGGTAGGGGGTGGAGTAGTGGGAGGCGGGGGTGTGGTAAGGGGTGGAATAGGGGGTGTGGTAGGGGGTGGAGTAGGGGGTGGAAGTAGTGGCGGAGGCGGGGGTGTGGTAGGGGGTGGAATAGGGAGTGTGGTAGAGGTGGAGTTAGAGTGTGTGGTAGGGGGTGGAGTAAGGGGTAGATAGGGTGTGTGGGGGGGTGGCGTAGGGGGTGTGGTAGGGGGTGGAGTAGTGGCGGAGGCGGGGGGTGTGGTAGGGGGTGGCGTGCGGTGTGTGGTAGGGGGTAACATACGGTGTTTGGTAGGGAGTGGAGGGGTGTGTGGTAGGGGGTGAAGGAGGCATTGATTGGGGGTGGTAGGAGTGTGGTTGATCATGAGTGTTTGGGATGGAGTAAGGAGAAAGAATGTGTGTGGGGGGAGTGGTGTTGGGAGTACGGTGAGTTTAAGGCCGAGGAAGGCAGACAGAAAGACGAAATGGGGAAAGACCTTTTTTTCCGAATGTTCTGCAAACGCCAATTGATTAATAAAATGTGCAACTATAAAGAGTTTTTTTAAATGTATTTCCCCTTCAGTTCCTGTTTTCGACATTTGCATTTCTCTCCCTGTGCGTTCAGGATCTTGACGTCCCATTCCTGAAGGGGAGCTGAAATGGAACAAATCACTGAACAAACCGCAAAATCATTTCTATTACTCCTCGCAGCAGTTGCATTGCAGGGACGAGATATTCTGTTATTTTTTTATTTTTTTCCCCAAATTACGCTGTTTCTTAATTACAAGATGTAAGACGAACCTCAGTTATACTCCTATCAATAATACTGTAAAAAAGCGAAAATATCTCAACGATACATCAGACATTAAAATCCTGTCATACTGGCATAATAAAAGAGCCAATATCGAGTGAAGCAAATTAACAAATATAACAAGAAATGCGTTCTTGATTTAAACGAATATCCAGTGTCAATAGAGGCATATTACAGTTGCTTGGTGTACTGACAAGTTACTGGCGTTCTTGTGTGCTAATTTTGCCTTTAATACCCAAGCCTGTGTTATTGACTGGGGCTCGGGAGTGGACTGTGAGTGACTGACCTGAAATGGCGTGGTTGACCTTGTACGGACGACTGGAACCGAATTTAGTGAGTGAACTGGACTGATATGTTTGGAAATATAAAGAACTTACTTTTTTTTACATATTACAAACGCGCACTCGCACTCTCCCTCTCTCTGTCTGTATCCCTTCCTTCTTCTTCTCTCTTCTTTCTTTTCTTTCCCCCTTCCTTCTTCTCCTTCCCCTTTCATTCTTCTTCTCCTTCTCCAGTTCCTTCTTCTCCGTCTCCCTTCATTCTTCTCCTTCCTCCTTCTCTCCACCTCCCACTCTCTCCCCCTTTCCCTCATCCTCTTCCTTTCCATCTCCTCCTTCTCCCCTTCCCTCTCCTTTTCACTCTAACTTCTCCCTATCCCTCTCCCTCTCCCTCTCCTTTCTCCTCGATTTCTTTCATTATCCGTATTACTGGCACGGCTGGAACTGAACGAGTGAATAAAGTGAATTGAACTGAACCGCCACGACTGGAACTGAACAACTGACAGAACGGAAAATGTACGAACTAACTAGGACTGGATTGAAGTGACAGAAATGAACTAGCACATGTGGCTGGAAATGAACAACTGACTGAACGGCATTTAAACGTAACATACTGGAAATGGACCGAAGTGACTGAAATGAGCTGGAAATGAGGTAAGGGATGTAACTGAACGGTACCTACCAGACCTAAAAAAAAATATACGATATTAAATCGGCAGAACTGACTCGGACAGGACGAACCGCCCACCTTCCCGTTCTTTCAAGAAGCCCAGAAAAGTAAAGCTATTTTTCTTAGAACGTTCTTCCCTTGTAGGCCCCCTCTCCCCTCTCCTCCCTCTCCCCAGTTTCCCCTACCCCTCCATTTCCCTCCTCTTCTCTCCCCTTCTGCCACCTCCTCCCTTCACTTCTCTCTCCCTCCCTCCCCTCCCACTCTTTCCTTTTCTACCCTCCTCCCCGCCTTCCCTCCTCCTCCTCCTCCCCTTCGCTTCCCTCCTCCCTTCCCCCACTCTCTTCTTCCTCCCCTTCGCCTCCTCCTCCTCCCACTCTCCCCTCCTTCCCCCCCTCTCCTCCTCCACTCTCCCCTACCCCTCCTCCACCCTTCCCCCGGTCGATAAAATCCTAAATCAATTTTCCCGGCGCGTTGGAGATCCAGAAACTGCATTAAGGTCGTCGATTCTCCACCAGCGGGGTTTTAAGCTCAGGCTGAATCAAGCTGCATCAAGTTGAATCAAGCTTGGAACATTACGACCGCGGCGGTGCTGGCTGTGTCTCCGGGGGAAGGGAAGAGGGGGGGGGGTAAGGGAAGGGATGTGGGTCGAGAGAGCATGGGGAAGGGGTTGGGAGGGATAAGGGTCGAGGGGGAGGGAGGTTGGGGAGGGATAAGGGTCAAGAGGGCAAGGGAGGGGGTGGGGGAGGATAAGGGTTAAGGGAAATGGGGACGAGTTAAGGGGATGATTTGGGAGAGACGTAAAGGTTTGAGGGTTGGGCGGTTAGGGTTAAGGAAGTACTGTGGGAAAGGGGAAGATGAGGGGAAAGGTAAGAAAAATAAGAAAGCGATGAGGAGGAGAAGTGAGGGTTGAAGGTTGAAATTGGGGATTAGGGGGGAATTGAGAGCTGAGGGTGGGGAGAGTAGATGGGAGTGAGGAATAAAGAAATAGCTGGGGGAAGGGATGAGGAAAAGGGTTAAGGAAGTGGTGGGGGTGGTGGCATTTTTGGGACCTGTGAAACCCTGGTTGAAAGTGGCACTGGTAGGGGTAGGGGTGTGGGTAGGTGGCATCTTTTGGCTTTGAGGAACCCATGATGAAAGTGGCACTGGTGGGTGTAAGGGGTAGGGGTGGGGTATCTTCTGTCTTTGTGGAACCTAGTACGAAATGATGAAGGGAAGAAGAGGGGGGATGAGAAGAGAGGATAAGGGCTTTTAGGCTAAAGAGAACATGAAACGACAATGATACTGGAAATATAGTGCCATCCTTTTCAGCTTTGCGGAACTTTTGCAATGATGATGATTTCTGAAAAGGAAATATATAATAATTTTCAGAGCACATTCTAAACCTGGAATAACAATGACGACTGTGATAGGGAAGAAAAAAAGACTCTCGACCATTTTTTGGAACCTGGAATAAAGTGAATAACGGTGATGGTGATGGGGAGGAGGGATAACTTTGAACTTTGTGTAACCGGAAATGAAGATAATGTTGGTGATTGTTTACGCGTCTTGTGTGTAGAGAGGACAATTTCTTTTTAGCTTTGTGAATTTAGACAATTTTAGATTTGTAAATTTAGACATTTAAAAAAAAATCTTTGTGGAGGATGGTCTAATAACGATGGCAGTGTTGGCATTGTGGGGTGAGAGGGGAGAGGGAACGGGAAAAGGGGGGGAGGTGGAGGGGAAGGGAGAATAGGAGAGGGGAGAAAGAAGGATGGCGGAGAGGGAAGGGAAGCGGGAGAGGGGGGAGAGGGGGAGAAGGGAGGCGGGAGGGGGGAAGGTGGAACGGGAGAGGGGGAGAGGAGGGAGGGGGGGGGGACGGGGAACGGAGAGGGGGGAGGGAAGCGGGGGGGAAGGGGGAAAGGGGGACAAGGGACTGGGGGCGGGGAGGGACAAAGGGGTAAGGGGAAGGGGGAACGGGATACTGGGAAAAGGGAGGGAGGCAGGCGGGAAAAGGGGAAAAGGAAGGGAGGGCGGTTGAGGGGGGGAACAGGAAGGGGAAGGGGAATGAGGAGGAAGGGGGCAAGAAGAGGAGAAGGGGGAGAGGAAAGAGGAGGGTAAAGGAGGAAGGAGAAGAGAAAGGGAAGAGGAGGCGGGAGGGGGAGGGGAGGAAGAGGGCAAATGAAGAGAGGGAGGAGGAGAGTAGAGGCTTGGGCTTTGGAAAATCTGGAATGAAACTTATGGCGATTAGTTGGTGATGATAGAAAATCTAAAAATGAAAATAATAAAACGGATTCTCTCTGTTATAAACAAAAATGAAAAATGACAATAACAAAAGTACTTATGATAAGAAAATAATAAAAATAAATATCACGATCATAATAACGCTCCTTGTCATCAAAATCATCGCCAATACTCTTACCATCAATACCAAACAAAAATCTAAAAACAAACAAACGAAACGCAAAAAAAAAAAAAAAAAAAAAAAAAACGCGGACAAGAATACACCATCACACATTTTCCTCCTCTCTTGTCTCCTTTGTTTCATCACCCTTTCCCGTCTATTATCTTTTCTTTTGGCATTTTTTCCTCCTCTCTTGATCGATAGGCTCCTTGAAGACTTCCATTACATCATTGGCTCGGTCCGGCAGCTCTCCGTTCTTCTGTGTCCGAGGAAAGAAGGAAGAATGGAGAGGAGAGGAAGGAGGAGGAGGAGGAAGAATGGGGAGGAGCAAGGAGGAAGGGGTATGAGGAGGAGGAAAGAATGAAGGAGGTGATGGGGAGTGAGAAGGAAGGAAGAATGGATGGAGGAATGAGGAAGGGAAGAAGAAGAAGGGAGAGAGGGAGGAAGGGGAGTGGAGGAGGAGGAATGGAGAAGAGGAAGGTGGAGGAAGAATGGAGAGGAGGAAGAATGTGGAGGAGGGGGAGTGAAGAAGAGGAAGGAGGAGGAAGGAGTAGGAGGGGGAGTGAGGAGAAGGAAGAATGGAGAGGAGGAAGGGGGGAGGAGGAGGAGAAGGAAATGGAGAGGGAGGAAGGGAGGGGAAGGAGGAAGGAATGGAAGGGGAGGAAGAATGGGGAAAGGAATGAAGATGGAAGGAAGAATGGAGAGGAGGAAGGAGGAGTAAATGAATGAAGAGGAACGGTAAAAGGGGATGAGGAGGGAAGAAGGGGAAGAGAGAGGAGGAGGAAGAGGAAAAGAAGAAAAAAGAAAAAGGAGTAGAAAGTAAAATGGAAAAGAAAGAAAAGAAATGAAAAAAGAATAACCACTGGTCAACCGTTTTTTGACCTGACCTTCTGTTTATCTTTGTCCTGATGTTCGAATTGTCCAAGATCTTAAGAAAGGGGATGAAGAGGAGGGTTGATAGATCATCCGCCTCCCCCTCAACTCTCTCTTTTATTAGCATCTTCGTCCTCTATCATTCCTCCGCCGGTTCTATTTTAAGAATCCCAATCATCGCGACTTTGCATGGTCTTCCGCCTCTGTGGATGCGGGGACGGGATCCAACACACATGGCTCACTTTCGTTCCTTTTCGAGAGGCTTTTCGGGGAATTGTGTGTGTGTGTCTCTCTTTCTCTGTCTTTCTGTTCTTTTTCTCCTTCGCTCGCTCGCTCTCTTTAATTTTCTTTTTTCTCTTTCGCTTTCTCTCTCTCTTTCTTTCTTTCTTTCTTTCTTTCTCTCTCTCTCCTCTCTCTCTCTCTGCTCTCTCTCTCTTCTCTCTGCTCTTCTCTCTCTCTCTCTCTCTCTCTTCTCTCTCTCTCTCCTCTCTTTCTTTCTCTCTCTCTCTCTTCTCTTCTGCTCTTCTCTATCTCATCTCTTCTCTCTCTCCTCTCTCTTCTGTTTGTCTATCTGCTTATCTCTTTCCTTTTTCTCTTCGCGGCTTTACTCTCTTGATCTCTCTATCTATCTATCTTTTCTTCCTTCTCTCTCTCTCTCTCTTCCCTTCCCCCCTCTCTCTCCGTTTTTTTTTCTATCTCTGCCTTTTTGTCTGTCTGTGTCTGTCTGTATGTATGTCTCTGTCTCACTCTTTCTCCTTCACCTTTCTCATTTCTTTGTAATTTCCCATTCTTCTTGAATATTTCCTAAAACTTCATAATTTATAGTGAAAATATAGAAAAGCCATACCTTAACATAGTAACTCTTAATAAGAATAATAAAAATTATAACAAAAAGAAGATAAAGAAGATAAAGAAAGGAGAAGGAGGACAGAAGAAGAAAAAGAAGAAACGATTTCAACTTTAAGAAGAGTTCTGCTTGTTGCAACAACACTAAAATGCCTTTCCTCTTGCACTCGTTTGTTGCATCTGCTGAACACCTGCCAGTGACTTTGCAGGTAATGGCCTTGGATGTTGCAAACTTTTCCGAAAGGTCAGCTACGTGTCCAAGGGCTCAGTAGGGTGAAATTGATGCCAAATCGACCTGATTTCGGTTCTTATGGCTAGGTCAATTAGGCTTTTATTGAGGTGATAATGACATTAAAATAAAAAGTAGTAATAACGATTATGAGGATGAGAATGAGAGCGATGATGGCGATGATAATGATGTTGATCATGATACTAACGATGGTAATTATGATAATGATGATTATGGTGACCGCAGTGATGATGATGATGATGAGGGTGATCGCAGTGATGATGTTGATGATAATGACGGTGATGCTGATGGTGATGTGATCATGATCAAAATAACAAAATTGTCATTGATAAAGATAAAAATGATAATCATAAGCATAACTATGGTGATAGTGATGGTAGAAAACCCAGACTGCACAAACTAGATTTATTGAAATCAGACAGTAGTTTCGAAATCCTTCGAAACTGTTGTCTCATTTTCAATAAATCTAATTTGTGCATTGTGAGGTTTTCTAAAATGATAATTATGATGATATCGACAGTAGTAGTAGTAGTAGTAGTAGTAGTAGTAGTAGTAGTAGTAGTAGTAGTAGTAGTAGTAGTAGAAGTAGCAGTAGCAGTAGCAGTAGCAGTAGTAGTAGTAGTAGTAGTAGTAGTAGTAGTAGTAGTAGTATTAGGTAGTAGTAGTAGTAGTATAGTAGTAGTAGTAGTAGTAATCAGTAGTAGTAGTAGTACTACTACTACTATCACCCCTAAGGATGATAATGATAATGATAATGATAATAGAAATAATAGTAACAGTAACAAGGATAATAATGATAATAAAATACAAAAATAATGATTAATCATAATAAATGATAATAATAATATAAAAAATATAATTATGATAATCATAATAATGATAATAACAATAATAATAGTGATAATAGTAACTAATAATAGTGATAATAACAATAATAACAATAATAATAACACTAATAATTATAATGATAACAATAATTAATAACGATTGATAATAACAATAACAACCAATGATAATAATAATGATAATAATGATAATAATAATAATAATAATTGATAATAATGATAATAATAATGAAGTCAATCAACACACAGTTACACATAAATGCGCGCGCGCACACACACACACACACACACACACACACACACACATACACACACACACACACAACACACACACACACACACACACACACACACACACACACATCACACATACACACACACACACACACACACACACACACACACACACACACCACAACGCGCGCGCGCGGCGCGTACGTACATTTTCTCAAATATATCGATTTATTTTCCCTATCTCTGCTCATCCAATATCTCATACATTTCATATCTATGAGAGTATAAGAATTTTCTCCCTCTCTTTTAAAAAATCTCCGTTTAAGAATGAGCTGTCTCTCTAAGGCATAACTCATTAAAATGATGACCTCTCCACTCTCTTCTCCTCTCCCCTCCCCCTCTCCTCTCAGCTCTCTCTCCTCTCCCCCTCCCCCCCCCCCCTCCCTCTCTCTCTCTCTTCTCTCTCTCTCTCTCTCTCTCTCTCTCTCTCTCTCCTCTCTCCTCTCTCTCTCTCTCTCTCTCTCTCTCTCCACTCCCTTCCTCCCATTTCCACTCCTTTCTCTCTCCATTTCCACTCCCCTTTCTCTCTCCAATTTCCACTCCCGTTTTTCTTCTCCTCTTTTCCAACTCCTTTTTCTCTCTTCCCTCTCACTCCCTTTCTCTCTCCCTCTTTTCACTTCCACCCTTTCTCTCTCCCTCTC